GGAAAATTAACAAACGAACACAGATGTAACAGAAGATTTTTACTGATTTAAAGTCGTGGAACTACCACCATCGAACTGTTGTACTACTTTTACATCCGCAATTGATATACATACATATAATATAAAGTTAGTAACTGTTATCTAAGTTTGAAGTAGAACTCTGTTGAGATCCAAGGTTTGGCCTTGTGTTTCTTAGCAGCTACTTCATAGTGCAGTTACTTATTATTAACATGCGATGTTAATCGCCAGAAGTAGATGAAACTATGAAAACCGTTAGGCCTAATTTTTTTATATAAATATCATGCTTGAGTGCAGATGGTTTTCTACGTTTTTCTTAATTAACTAGTTCATTACTGAATTCGTGAAGATAGCATTTCAGATCTGATTACAAGATTCTGCTTTTGATTTTGTTTTTCTGACTTGTTTTTAAATTTTGATTACCCTTTTTTTCTTCCAAAAATGCTCTTTGTGTTGATAACTTTTATGGAATAAAAAAATCTGACGATCACAAGAATCCACTACTACGTTTGTATTTCGGGCTTGTTGACAACTTATTTTTCATGAATCTTCTCGTTTTCGCTATTAATTTGACACTCCTGAAAAATAAAAAAATCCTTCATAGGAGTACATATTAATTTGAATTTTAAAATTTTAGTAAATAAATGTACATCATAGTCAACAATTTACTTCATATCAATTTGTAAACAAAAAATGCTTGAAGTAATAAGTAAATTACTACATTAATACCATTTTGTATTGTATTGTTATGATATTGATATTATTAATAATATATTTTTCAGGGTGGTGTCGACTTTGTTAGGTGCTTTCATGGAACATTCACTGTTTAGCACAGTTATTTCCATAATTATAATTCTATTTACTGGTAAGTTTAAAACATTTCCTTGATTTTTTAGAAATTAAAACAAATTTACATGTTTTATCTTAATATGTAACTTAAATTTGGTGGGCTATTTACATTTACTGCTTGAGAACTTGTGATTAACAAATTAGGTGAACATAACTTAATAGGATGAACCATGGTTATAAAGTAAAAATTAAATAAAACTTGAATAAAAAAATAAAAATAAAAATCCTACTTGTTTCAGCATACCTCTTTGCACTCTAATTGCAAAATAAATAAATATAATATAGCTTGAGGTTGCTCAGCTTTTTCAGAGAAATTTGTGGCATTTAGATTATTTTTACTTTGTGTTAGATGCATGAGATTTGGTATTGATGTGAGTTTAAATGATTTTCTATTAAAGCTTATCTTACAGAAAGAATAAGAAAACCTGAGTGCTAGGTCTATCTAGAAATCTATTCAGTCTGAAACACCCTTTTCCCCAAAATAATAAAAGCAAAAGCAAGTCCCCAGTGGCACAGCGGTATTTCTGCGGACTTACGCTCCGAGAAATCGGGTTTCGATACCTTTGATGGGTAGATAGCCCATTGTGCAGCTTTGTGTTTAACTTCAAAGTGATCCCAAATTTCAGACAACGGGCTTTATTAATTTTCTTCGTGTTGTTTTGATCTCTTATTTTTGTTAGATGTGTGTTATTTTTATATTTCTTTTTCATATTTTAGACTAGAATTACTACCACATTTGATTTAACTGTTTTTCTATATTAAATTAGCTTATTAAACGCGAAAACACACAAGCTTTTATAATAGAAAAACTGTAAATTATTGAAACAAATCATTAAAAAAAATACGGTTATGAAACAAAAACAACCTTTGTTAGAGTCTGTAACATTTCAGCTTACTTTTTCTCAAGTTCTCTATATCAATAAACTTATTCTTATAGAGCTTTGATACTAATTTCTTTATTTTAATTTTTCAAACATTGATAAGCACTGTATTGCTGACAAAAGGGTAGATGAAATTATTTTTTCATATTATGTAAAAATCTAGTTTATCAACGGATTTTTTGCTTTTACCTTTATGTTCAAACGTTTTTATTGGTTTGTTTGTTTTTTAGGGCAAAGCCACATCGAATTATCTACTGTATCGACCGCGGGGAATCGAACCCCGAATTTTAGCATTGTAAGTCCGTAAACTTACCGCTGTCCCACTACGAAATATACTTTTGGCTTTGAATTTAAAGCACAAGTACACAATCAGTTAAATGAGTTGATTATTACTTCCCATAAAGCAGAGTATGCAATTCGCATCTCATGAGGTTATTAGGGATTTAATAACAAAGAAAGAAGGAAGGGGGAACATTATTATCTGATACTATCCTTTATATAACGTTTGCTTTCTTAACGGCACCTTCAGCTATTACAGTAAGCATTGGTCTCGAGAGTATTTAAATTGGATTTTAAACACAGATTTTAAAGAACGTAATCTCATTAGTATGTAGACATTATATAGGACTCGACTGTTGATTTGACAAATAATAACATGCAAAATTACTACATTTTCCTCAGGACCATATATATAGGAAACATTCCCCGAAACAAAGAAAAATCATAATACTATTAGTTCTCAAAGATAATTTCCAACATCTTATGGTAAAGATAGTCCATTATGTGTATGTGTTAGCATCCATCAATCACCCAGAGTTGGGTGACTCGAGTACGGTCTGGTAAAGATAGTCCATTATGTGTATATGTTAGCATCCATCAATCACCCAGAGTTGGGTGACTCGAGTACGGTCCGGTAAAGATAGTCCATTATGTGTATGTGTTAGCATCCATCAATCACCCAGAGTTGGCTGACTCGAGTACGGTCCGGTAAAGATATTCCATTATGTGTATGTGTTAGCATCCATCACCCAGAGTTGGCTGACTCGAGTAAGGCCATTTTTGGTATGATAACTAGAAACTGTCTGACGATGTACAAGGGCTATTTTGTTTTAAGATTTCCGCCTGAGAAGGAAGGTAAAATGTCCCTGAAATAAGGCACATTTTAATTTTTTATGGTGCACTAGTTGCACCCCTTCCTCCGGCGACGGCCTTGTTTCTGTCATCTTTCTCAGATAATAAAATAAAACTACCTCAAATATAAGTTAAAACGCAGATACGCAATTTATTGAAAGATGTATCAGAACGCAATACTTGTAATATTTTCCCTACGCGCACCAAGCCTATGGTCATTTTTGTATACTGCATTGTGAGCTGGAGTAAGTGTGGTGTAGTGTGTATTTAATGAGAGGCTGCTTTGAAACGAGAATAGCAGAGCCCACTGATACAACAGATTAGTCAGATGAGTTTTGACAGTTAAAGCATTTCATATTTTAACAGAATGATATAACAGTTTGATGCCAAAAGTGAAATTTGTATTTTCAACTAAACAAGTAAAGATACACTATCCTGCCAAAAGTCATGGGACACACCTCTGATTGCAGAAAAAAATGGGTGTGACGACGAAACGTGCAACTAGTTTGGCCTATACAGGTGATCAGCGATTCGCTCGGAAGTCATTTCGAACTTCTATGCCAAACGATGAGTACACAGAAAGAGCTAACAGAGTTTCAGAGGGGAAGGATAGTTGAATGTCATTTGGGTAAAATGTCTGTACCTGCTATTGCGCAACAATTAAACATTACCAGGTCAACAGTTGACAACATGGTGAAGAAATAGAAGTACTACAGGTGACAATGAGCCCAAGAGACGACCATGTAGATGTAAAATACTGACTGACTGGAGCCGAAG